ACTTTGCCGCAAGATGCAAATAATTATTCCTGAAGAGGGCGTGCCTGCGAGCCATGATGCTCCTCTTTGTTCCTAAACTGTATATAAGGCTGAATATCTTCTCTTGACGTAAGACAATTGCGTGCGCAAAGATTGTTCTTCCTTTCTTATCTTTCTTCCACACAATATCGGGTTTGTATTTGAGTATTTCACGTATGAATTCAAATATGCGATGTTTTATAGCGTCGTAAATTATTGTGTCAATATCCATCCTTTCGAGATCTTTATTGGTCAACATCCGCATCTCTTGAAAGATGCATCTCAGGAGCTCCACGGCCTCGTGATGTACCAACTTCTTGTGATGGATTGATTTTATTTCTGGTACTAATTTAAGATAAGAAGAATATGTGTAAATGAATTGTGATATATACAACTTGTGCTCACAACCTTTTTTATTTATTTTTAATATTTCATATCTTAGCATATAAATAAAACAAGTAGTGTAAACATACCTAAGCATTGTAAAATGCCCCAACTGAGTTTGTGGAACACGTTGTGAACTGCATACGAGTATTCCGAACTAGTTAGGAATAAAAAAAAATGAAATATTCATTATATTTGTAGGAAAATGAAAGAATGAGTTTCTTATGTTCACATGACGTGATTCATTTCAAATTCCATTTAATATATTAGTTGAAATAAACAAGAAATATTTACATTGGAGATCGATGTGTCCCCTTTTTTCGAATTCTTCGTCGCTTGAGTCATGAATCTGGATTCTCTGGTCAACACTCACTGTTTCGGTTTCCATGTGTTCTTCGCTACGAAACTCCCGTTGTGTGTCCCAATGAGTATGAATTATCACACCTAGGAACACCGAAAAAAAAAAATTGCATATATTTTCAGACACAAAATGCCAAATGAAATATTATCAACACATAATAAAAAGAAAAACTTACAATCATAGATCCATTTCTCCCAAAATGCAAACTTCGACCCACTAAGGAAGGCTGAAGGTTTGTGAGCCAATATTTTGAGAGCATAGTTGCCGCTACGGTCCGGTGTAACTCCTAGTTTTGGATACTGTTTTAGTAGCAACAACGCGACATCTACGGCAAGTAGAAGTATCCAAGTTTATTTATGAACAAAAAAGTGCAACAAAATAAAAATTAACAAAAATTGAAACACACGTTGTTTTTATTTATTTATTTTACCGTAGATTTCATCGGTAATGAGACAGTTAAGAAGCTTCACCCCATTCTCACCCTTTTCCGGGCTCAGCTCATATTTAGGTGTCACTTTATACAGATAACGAACCATATTATTTTGTCCGTAAAAAGCAGCAACAACCACAGGTAGTTGCCCATCTTCATGATCATTTGACATTGTCACTAAATTTGTATTTTTCATTACCATCATCTTTGCCAGCTTTGTCGCACCACAGACAGCAGCAAGAGAAAGTGCGGTCGCGCCGTATTCATTTATCAATTCCAAGTCAGAAGGTTCTGTCATACCTACCAAATGCTCTGCAATCTTTAAGTGCCCACACAAAATTGCAATGTGAAGGGGCGTATCGTTATGGGAAGACACCCTTGCCTTAAATGCCCCCCGAGTTTGCTTCAGCAAGTCTTGTGTATTATGCCAATTGCCTTCTTCGATTGCCTTGTACAAGTCCTCGTATTTAAGGTACTCTTTGGTCCCTGCGGACAAAGAGGATGGAACGAATTGAAATTAATCTTTTCGGAAAATTTTCAACGTTTTTCGAAAGTACAAAATTGATTCATTTCAATTCCAAAATTTTCGGAATCTAGAAATTCATTCTCATTCCAAAATTGTCGGAAATTTCTGAGTTTTGAAAATTTGTCACATGAGTATTAAATTTTTTAAGGAGTTTCAAAAAAATTCGGAAACTTTCATAAATTTTCAAAATAAGAACAACCATTCTGATAAAACTTATAAATAATAATGGGATAAATTCTAATATTCTAAAAATAACTATAAGAATTCCAATTGCACTAGGTACCGATTATCAAATACCACAAAATTTCAAAGCTGCATGATAAAAGTCGAAACACGAAAAAGAAACTCCATAGTAGATACCATAGTTGTTCCAAAATCGATCAACAATAAGTACCAAATGCAACTTTGAACAAATATGACTAATATCATATATAATTATGTTATAAAAGATAGTCGAAATATATAACGTAAATTCATAGATAATATGACAAACCACGACATAATATCCCATAATTTTTCTAACAGTTTAATGTGTCGAAATCTACTAACAAAACTTCAATCAAATTTTCTCCAAATGCGTAAAGTAAAAGTATAATTAAATACTTAATCCATTTTATATTTATTTGTGTGTGTGTGGTGCTTATTTTTAGGAAAAAAATCATTTTTTTATAATTAATTTTGGAAACTAAATGGGATGGGAAATAGAAAATTCCAAATATTTTATGTCTAATCCCAATTTCCCATCCAAAACAAATTGAAAAAAATTGAAAATCCTAATTTCGGAAGTCAGTATGAAAAGTTTGTTCCTTAGTTGGAATTTTTCGGATCGGCACTGGCGGAAATCGGAAATTCCATTCGATCTTTCACCCTTAAATTACTTCCTAGTTTGTACAGCATGTATAGAATTGGAGATGCTTAAATAGAATTAGAGAGATCAATATTACAATGTAAAAATGCCAAGGACAAGGAAAGATGGAAACTTACCATTATGATCCTCGACTTGACGTTCTTTATGTCCGAATGCCCTCTCAGCAAGATGAGTCCACGCATAATGCGCCGAAACATGCGCCTTATCAAACTTAGCATATATACCCGATCCGCAAGAAATTTGAATGGCATGTAGAGCCAAAGCATTTTTCTTCTCCCACTCGTCGTGTTCTTGGTTATTCTCTTTGTCCGGTTCGGATTCCTTTCCGGACACAACACCCCATAAGCCATGACCCACCAAATAGGTTTTCAGACACCTTTTCCAGTGCTCGTAGTTGTCCTCCGTGAGTGTCTCCGGAACAATTCCGAGTCCTCCAACTTTGTTTTCGTCGCCTGTTCATAAGGTGATGTAAAAAAGGAACGATGGTCCGAAAATTATGAGACAATAAGGATGATGTAAAAAAACATTACTAGTAGAAAAATAACTTTTTACTACGACAAATTTTTTTACTAAGGTAAAAATTCGTACAAAAGGTACCTTTTACTACGAGACAATCTTCGAGTCGTTGTAAATGCTATGATTTACGGTAGCAAAAAAAATTTGCTAGCAGAGTTTTTGCCACGCCCGTATATGCTACGGGACAAATACGTAACAAATACGTAGCAAAAACCTTTTTACTGTGAATTTGATACCTTTTGCTACGGTTAGTGGTCGTAGTAAAAAACTATTTTTCTACTAGTGCATACTGCCAAACGTCAACATAAGTAAAGTTTATGATGTAAATGCATGAAGAAACAGTACTATGAGTGCATATTATATACATATCCTTACCTGAGTTTCTTGTCATATTTTCTCAAGCTATTTTTACTCAGAAAAAAAGTAGATGATTAGAAGTCTGTTTGAATCCCATATGTATGTGTATTATATATATGGAAGTGATGGTTAATAAGATTGTTGTTTAAGCTCACACTTATTCTCAGATACATAATTTTAAACTCCTTTACTCTTTCTCTCCTTTTCTCTTTATTCTATTTCGTTTGTTGCTTTTTCTACATCAGTTATTACACTACTGTCTGAAAAAGCAATAGTTCTACACATTTAGAAGCTGCATTCTCAATCACTTACCTTGGAGATAGTTTATTCTCTTAGAACTTTCACCAAAGAAATGGATTTGAATTTCTTCAACTTTAAGAGTTCAGACAATAGGAATACCGATGCACGAGACTCTCGTTGTTAGATTTGGTGGGGCCCACACACCTGACCAAATTACAAATACCCCGAAAATTATTACAATTAATTGATTATCACCTTGATGTTTGCTTTTGTATTACAAACAGAATCTGCGGGAGATACCCTATTTGCAAAGATAAACAAACATCAAGAGAATACTTTAATATTCAAATTTGGAATAATTACAGTTTTGATCCTCCAAGTTTGCACGTTTTTTACTTATGGTCCCCCATTTACTTTGGTATGTTAAAATATTAGATTTATTGTTTTTTTTAATTAAATGATTAATATTAGTTTAGTAAAATAATTAGTTAAAATAGTATTCTGTATTTGTAGGATACTTAGATTGTTGTCAGTAGTGGGTTAGTGTTCCCCGAAATTAGTATAATTGTTTCTTAATTAATTTTCGCCATGGCAGGCCGTTCAAGAAAGTCTTGAAGGGAGACAAAAATCCCGAACAAAAAGACAGACGAGGTGAAGGAATGTTGGAATCTTAATAGAACTGATCATGATAATGATTTGACGATGCGGAGTTCGACGAATTCGAAGAATGGGGTCACCAAGTGAGGTGCTCAGTGAAACTTTTGTCTTTTGGATAAATTTGTTAATACTTGTTCGGGAACATATGGGCAGTTTGCTGCTTATAGTTCTTTGAATTCGTTGGAGTTGAATGCAGTATTCATTGGTTGGAAAACTCTTGTTAAACAATGTGAAGATAAGTGAAGTCTTCAAGGCAATTTGGTACAACGAGAGTATGAATGTTGCCTTAAGAATGAGGTTGAATCACCCGCAACTGTTTCTATTTTTAATTCTAGATATGGTGGAATACTTCATTGAAGTAGAAGTGTTCGATTAGCAGTAGCTGATGTATTTCTTTCGCAAAAGAAATTAGGAGTTCTCGGGTTGGATGGATGGAGTGTCAATCAGTGAAGATTGACGGAGGTGTTCGAAAAATTGCGTTCGTCCAAATTGAGGGTGTTTGGTTAAGGCGTTTGCTCTTGATGTGTGAAAGTTGATAAATGTTCTTTCGGAAAAGACGAAAGAAATATATCGAAGAAGAAGAATAATTCTTATTGTAAATTGTTTTCCGCAAAAATCAGTATAAGGGAGGGTGTTAAAATATTATATTTATTGTTTTTCTCTAATTAAACAATTAATATTAGTTTAGTAAAATAATTAGTCAAAATAGTATACCGTGATTCTACGCTACTTAGTTAGTTGTTAGCAGTGGGTTAGTGTTCCTCGAATTTAGGATAAGTTTGTTAATTAATTTTGTATTTAAGTTGTAATACTTTGATCATGTTAAATGAAAATTACAATTTATCGGTTTTTTCAAGTCAACAAAATACACCCTAATGTTGTCACGTTTTAGCACGTTGAGTCCCTGCGTCGGTTTGACCGTCAAGAAGTAACGATCAAGGGTTGAATTATGGTTGAATTTGATATTTTTCTATGAGAAAATTGTAATAAGACCCATGTAGTCTTTCAAAACATTCTAAAGATCCCTAAAATTTTATCCAATCATAATTTAACCCCAATTCCATAAATAAGTCAATTTTAACCAATGACCACAATTTTTTCAAAATCGGTTAATCCGACGTTGACTTTCTTTTTAACTAGGTTGACTCTTTGTTCGATTGGTTTTTTTTTCCCTACGTTGACTGATGTTGAATGTCGGGTTAATTTCGTTAACTTTTTTTTTCTTCTTGATTTTTATTTTATTTTTATTTAAATTATTGAGTAGTATGAAAAATAAAATTTTAGAAGAAAAAAAAACCGATAACCGGCGGGAAAAATAATATCATAAAAACAGCCAAATAAAAGAAAAAAGAAAAGTCAATGCAGCTCAACGACGGAAAAAAAAATCAAGAAAAAATAAAATAAAAATCAATGGCCGATGTTAGGCCCCAAAACCGTTATACTAGAGTGGTTGTCATTGCTGAATTATTCCGCACATGCTAATTCATCTTCTTCATGTTTTTTTGGGAAAAAAATTGAGATGCGCATGCTGTTCCACGAAAAAATAAAGAGGGGTTAATGAGAAAGACCCCCTCATTAGGAAAAATATAGAACTGAGCAGTCTAATTTATTTTGAATGGATCGAACCCTCTGAACTTTTCTATTACCTAAACTATCCTTATATTTTCTCTTAGAAATAAACCCCTCCTACAATTTTACCGGAAGAAACAAACATAAAAAAGAAAAACAAAAAAATTCATTCACACCTATATAAAATTAACACTCACCACACACAGACATATATATATATATATATATATATATATATATATATATATATATATATATATATATATATATATATATATATAAAGCTTGTTTTTTAGATTTACAAATCCATGGTCGCACTATTTGTTGACTCGTAAATATTTGTTTCCTATGAAATTTGTTTTATCAGAGTCCAAAACAAAGAGGGATCATTGTTGTGGCGAAAAACATAAAATATTGTAGTCATCTACACCCAATGTCATCCATAAAAAATGGATAGTTCACTATATTGTTCCCAAAGTAAAAATTAGATGGTCAACTGTAATTTTTCCAATGTCAACTATAAAAAAATGGTAGTCAACTATACAAAAATGGTAGTTAACTATTTTGTTGTCAGAGTCAACCATAAAAATTAGATAGTCAACTACAATTTTTCCGATTTCAACTATAAAAAATTGGTAGTCAACTATAATTTTATCATAAATTCACTATATTATTTTTCAATTTAAGATACTACGTACGGTGTTGTAAAATGGCATACTAACGATAAAAATCTCATCTTTGTTAAAAAAACATGACATTTTATAGAGTATAAAATAGATTGACTTCAACCACACAAAAGAAATGAGATGTAGAAGAAAAGGCAAAGTTGTGAGAAGAAATGGAGAAAAATAGAGGAAAAAAAAAGAACAGAAAGTGAGGAGAAGAGAGAAAATGGGAGAAGAGAGAGAAGGGAGAGAGGAGAGAGGAGGGTCAAAGTGAGAAAAAAGGGAAGAGAGAAATGAATGGAGAATATAAAATGACAGATAAGAGAGAAATAAGGAGAAGAGAGAGAAAGAAGGAGAAAAATATGGACAAAAAGGGTATAATGAACATTAACATAAGATTACGGGGGTCACAAAATTCAAAAAATATTATATGAGTTTGTTTACTGAATTATAAACTGGGCTCAAACTCTATTATTTTATCTAATGATGGGATTATCCCTTATTTTCCCAGAAAATAATTGAGAGGAAGAAATTATGGATTTTTCAGAGGTTTTTTAAATTGTATTTTGGCCCGAGAAGTTTAGATAAATACTCTGTTATATTTTTTTTAATTTTAATATTATGATACTAGATACTAATATAGTATTATTACTGCGTTATACAGTAATAATATTATGTTAATCATGAAAAAAAAAATCAAAGAAAAGAGTAAAATTAAAAATCAAGAAAAAGAAAACATCAACAATGTAATCGGCAATCCAATGTCGGTCAACGGCGGCGGAAACAATATTCAAAAAAATAGTCGGCGCCAAAAAAAAAAAAAGATCAAGAGCGGCCAACGATAATAGTGGTCAAAATCGGGGTCGTTTAGTCAAAATTGATTAACTCATGAAATTGAGGTTAACTTAGATGACTAAATTTTTAGGGGATCTTAGAATATTTTGAGAGAATACAGGAGCCTGATTGCAATTTTCTCAATGAAATCTCCAATTCAGCCATAATTCAATCAGTTGTCGTTACTT